TTCTGTTCTGTTAGAGTGTGCAGTGCAAAGGAAGGCCCCTCACATTCAGTGTAGGCTTTCAGTGTCTGTGGCTAAAGTGATTGCTTGAGCGTCTGCCATGTAAGTTTTTATCTTTCAAGAATGAATGATTTGAAGGCAGTAGCATGGTTTTGGGGTAATATAAGCTAAAGAGCATTTGGAGCAAAAAGTTCTAGTAAGGTACCTAATTTTGTGTATAAACCCAAGAATGTTATGGCAAATTTCTAGATTTAGGTGTTTGATACCTTAAACAATTCCTAGTGGGACAGTGAAAACGTTAATTTTTCCAAGCTGATTTAAGTGACGAGTGAGTTTTGATCTTTTTGCAAATTTCAGTGACACCATTAATGTTCAGACATAATTTATTGCTGCTTTCTGACTTTTCTCTTCAGCTGCCCAGTGTGAGCCAAGAGACCCTGAAGCACAGCGGCATTGGACGGGCTGTGATGTACCTGTACAAACACCCCAAGGAGTCGAGACCGAACAAGGACATGGCTGGGAAGCTGATCAGTATGTACACCTGCCTGTGCCTTGTCTGAGATTCCACTGATGATAAATGGAGCTTCTGCGTCAGTTTCTGATGCACTACTGGTGTCTGTAGAATAGATTCTGCAATGTAGGAACCTCACTGATCTGTTTCATAACTTTATAGAGCTCTTAACAAACACTGTTACATTAACTTCTGCAATGCACCTGTTTCATTGTCTTAAACCACAGGATGGCATTTGTTTTGCCTCAGTTCTCTCTTGGCTCATTGTCCACATCTTGTGTATGTGCTGCAAAGACAGGAAGGTGCTGCCAGAGGTTTGTTTATTTCATGGACTTCAGAGAGAACTTGGCTGACTGAATGTTTACTACTCAACCAGCTGAACTCCATGTGGAGTGCATTCCATCCAGAATGGCTGCAGACTGAGGATAAACTTAAGTTCTTTAGGAACTTTTCTGCATATTTCTAAAATAGCATTCCTGGGTTGTGCAGGAGCTCATGGCACTGAGAGCTTGGAGATGTTCTAAAAGAGCAGGCAACAAAGAGACTTTGGGGTGAAAGCTCTTGCTATCTGTTCACAAGGCTGTTTTTCCATTAAATACTAAGGGCTCAAAAATCATTTGGTTGAAAGGAAACGTAAATACTTGCCACAAACTTTCAAAAGCTGTATTTGATCACCAGAGTGGTTTGAGAGAAACAAAGGCCTGGTCATCGTTAACTAATCATGTTTTTAATAGATGAATGGTCTCGACCCATCTTTGGCCTTACCTCAAACTACAAAGGCATGACCAGAGAAGAGAGGGAGCAAAGAGATTTGGAGCAGATGCCTCATCGAAGAAAAATGAGCAGGTAGGAGTAGCAGGCAGAAACATTAAATCCGTCTAAGACTCCATCATGAGAAACCAAGTGGTGTGTGAATACTAAAGGAAATAAAAGGGTAATAAGTTATGGTCTCTTTCTTTTAACATATTTGATGGTTTTTTAAATTTTTCCCCTGTGTATAAATGCTTGTAAATATTTATTTTTCTTGCAGCTCTGGTGGTCAGACTCCCCGCAGGGACCTGGAGAAAGTGTTAACAGGAGAAGAAAAGTAGGTTGGATTTTTTATTGGTTTTATTTTATTTTTTGTGAAGTATATTAGTGGCAGTACCACTGTGGAACTTGTGTAGGGGTTTTAGAGGCAGTTGTATGCAGTGTGTTTCAGAGGAGAGCACACTGGGTGCTTTTACTTCTTTCTGGATAAGATTTGTCCGTAAGTCACATCCTTTTTTTCCATAGGGCTCTCAGGCCCGGAGACCCTGGGTTCTGTGCCCGTGCGAGGGTGCCAATGCCCTCCAACAAAGACTACGTGGTCAGGCCCAAGTGGAACGTGGAGATGGAGTCCTCCAGGGTAAGCACTGGCAATGTCCTGGCGACTGTTCCCGAGCCTGGGATTCTGTCACCATATCACCATGGTTACTGCACAGGAGGGTAGTTCTTTTAAGGGGCTCTTGTAGTGAGTGTGAACAGTAAACTCTCCAGTAAGTAGGTGCTCTAAGCTCATCATATGTTTTCACAGGAAAACATCTCTGACCAAAAAAGAGATTTTGAGTTAACTTTTCTAGAATTTTTCTCTCAGGTGAGAATCTGATTACAGGCCTCTTGCTCTAAAGCATATTGAGCTAAGGGTGCAGTTCAGTACCTGTGTCACTGCACTGATGCTTTTATACTTCTCCCAGCTTTTGTATCATGTTCTGATAATATTCCAGTTTGGGAAACCTTTGAGGTTTTGGTAAACATGAACAGCTTCAGTGGAGGCCTTTGTGTTGCTTTGTCTTCATCCATCTGC